GAGACTATGACCACAGGCCATTTGCAAAGACTAGGGCATATTTTGTATTAATCCTAGTAACTTTAACCATTGGAAATTGACGTGATACCTGAGCTATGAGGCTAAATTTTATACAAAATATTTTCTGGTAAAACTGGATTTTCTGTTTGTAAGCTAGGCTTCATGACTTCATCACTGATTTGATCTTGATTTGTTCTTCAAAAGGTAAGAAACAGCATGCACACTTCCTGAGCCCCTGATTAATTTGGTGTGTATGTTTTAAAAAACAAGAGTTTTTATTGCCCAGGATTTACCATATAAACAAGTTAATTTCAGTAATTTCATTTTGCTTAAACCAAATTTCCCCAAAATAAGTGACAAATAAACTCAAAATTTGGACTTACAAATCATCTGGCATTTTCCTTTTGAGCACAGTACATAGGAGAGAGAAGTTTATTATTGACTTGAGACCCCCATGGTAGAATTAATATTGTCCATAATTTGCCCCTTGTTTGACATCAGACTGGACCACAAAATCTCAACCACCATGTTCCAAATTTAGTGCCAAAAAATATAGCTCTGTTTACTGCTCTCTGCCTGTCAAGCTATGCCAGTGCTTTGCTGATAGCCGTTGACACTAAAAAGAACAAGTGCCTTGAGAGGGTCACTGGCTTGCTGCTCAAGCATTATTAGCTCTGGAGTGCTGCACTATGGTGGCATCAATGGTCTAAGATCTGGTCTTCAATTTTATGGGCGCAGAGACAGAATGGTCTCTTGCCTGCAGAGAAGGCAGTCTCAGATGGAATGACACATACCACATTCAGAAATGACTGACTTATACATCTGAAGCAAATCTGAATATTTTCAGCAAGAGATAAAATTAATGAGTCAACTGAATAGTCTTGTTGATCTGAGGATATATTCCAATTTGTGTGAACATGTTGGTTGATGAGTGTGGAAGTGGAGCAGAGTCAGATGAATTTTCTTAGAGCTTAATTTGATTGTCCCATCAAAGCATTGGCTTCCCAGGATGGTCTTAGAAACACGTGCCCAACTTTTAGTTTTGGCTTCCATTTCTAATCCACTCTGTTCGTGAAATCTTGATGTAATTTATGGCACAGATTATTTTATTTTATCCACTTACATTCTTATCCTGGCATTGTGAATTAGGCAATTTCTCAGTTCTCTTCCCCATTCACTTCTAAAGCATTATTTTAGGAAGGCTATATTCTGCAGATAACTAACATCAGTCACTCTGTGCTCTTTATTCCTTTAGTTTACCGAGATCGATTTTGTCGCCATAATATGTGATCATTTTACAGTAGCACCAGTGTACCCTGGTGGGAACCATAATGGTGTTCTCAGGAGCTGTGTCCTGGGCAGTATACATAGTGCCGTGGCATTTAGACACTTCTGCTTCAGAGTGGTAACAGTGAATGGCATAAAAGAAATTGGGATGAAAGACACGAAAAAAATCCAGTATCATGTATGAAAACAGACTAATTATTTTTCAAAGAAGTAGTGAAAGACACCTTCACCCCTTTTCTACTTGCTCTTGACCTCACAGTGGTAACGTAAATTCTGAACTCTGTAGAGACACAAAGTGGAGTTCAATCCCTCTGCAAATGGCACAAATTGCGAGGTAGGCATATGAGGGAGGTTTCAGATTCCCTAAGGTAGATGTGCTGAGTGAATCTGGCCTGTTTTCCCCAGGCTTGAGGAACACAGACTCTTTTTTATGACTTCATTTTGGGATGTTAGTCAAAATGGGGCCTGGAGACAGGAGATAGCCCATAAAGGCCCATTCTAGTTCTCCAATTCAATCATCAGAAGAGAGTTGTGGGTGGCTCCTATATTCAGAAAAGCCACTGTTTAAAATACCTCCCACAAGGCTGATCTTATAGTATTTCAAAGCTTTCCTTTTAAATATATTCCATAGGCATTTTGGTCATTGTTTTTACGAGCTATTTATAATATGCAAATTCTAGGACAAGGATAAGCACAGGTTTGAATTATAAACCTTGGTGGATAGGAACTGATACCAATCCAACCCTAACACACTTTGACCATGTTAGTTAGCAATGCCAAGAGCCCAGGGGAAGGGACTCGACAGTCTGCCACTATCATTATCCTCAGAGCCTTAGAAAACTGTCTCTAAACTATGTCTTTCTGGGAAAAGGTAATCTGGCTTTTTGGGAAGTGGTAGATTCATATCACAATAGATTCAACCAGAAGGTTGAAGAGTTCTTCTAATCTAAACGTACAGGTACAAATCTAAATAAATGTTAAAAAGAAAATTTGTCTAGCCTACCATGAATTACCTAAAAAAAAAGTAATAAGGTCATTCATGAGAGATTTTTATAATAATTATTTTAAATGAGTTCATTAAAATCTTTTTGTTTTAATCTGTAAAGTCATGGCCTTGAAAGCTAACGTCTTAAGGGCATCATTCTATGATATCAAGAGTGAAAAAGGTTGAAGGTTATCACCCCAAAACCAGAGGCTCTCGCCTGCCATAAGGTAGTGACAGATGAGACTGTCAGATAGGATGGCAGATTACTAGGCAGGTTGTTGAATTTTTCCTTCGACGGTAATCTTTTACATTTTGACAAATTCTTCCCTGTTTTGAGATGATTTAAACGTACCGTTATGAAGCAGTTCAGAGCTTTTAAATCAAAGTTGAAAATTGTCTCTGCTGTCAGGAGTACAAGTATGCGCAGTGAACATATACATAAATAAAATGGGAAAATTGTGTACACGTTTGAAAGCCTTTGCTTTCTGGCAATCTCCTCTGGAGAAGTGAAGCAGTAGAGAAGAGAAGAAGTTGGGAAAATGAAATTCTTGCCCAAATGTCATATTTCACTTAACTCTGTAAACTTCTGAATCTGTTCATTCTGTCTGCATTTCTCATTCCTGGAAATGGAGGCTCCATGGGGGCAGGAATCCCCATCTGCTTTTTTCACTGATATATCCAATCATCTGGAAGGTGCTTGGCACATGGTAGGCCCTTGGTTTATAGTTATTGAATTAACCAATTCGTGCAATGAGATGAATCATAACAGCCTCTGTGTTTTTGGTTGGAAGGCTTCATGAGGCGGGGCGGGTGGCATATGAGACAAAGGAACTTGAACCTCTTTGGAAGAAGAGTCTTCTATAAATTCAAAGTGATACTATGGTCCCTTTACTCTCAATGCTTATACAGCCTTATACAGCCTTCTAAATTAAAATCCTCTTTGAAGGCCGGAGAAGCTGACATCTACCAGAAGTAGTATGACACTGAGTCTCAGCCTCGTTCAACTCCCTTAGGGTGGCTTCAGCTGTCTGTGTGACATGGTGGTTAAGAGCCTGGACCCTGGAATGATGAATCCCAGCTTCACTACTGGTTTCATGACTTTGACAATGTCATTTAACCTTTAGTGACTTGGTTTCCTCAACTGGAGACATGGATAATACCAACCCAAGGAGATGTAAGGATAAAATGAGATAATTCATGTAAAATTCTTTTCATGGTATAGCACTTGGGAAGCACGCCATAAATGTTAGCTTATAATTATCTGTTGCTGTCCAGGGATTTTTCCTCAATTTATTGTTTCTGTCTAATTTTCTACTTGAACATGTGTATTAGTTTAGAAACAAAGGACCAATAACTCAGTGGCTTAGCACGACAGAAATTTCTTGTCCCACTGTTCTAGAGACTAGATTGAAATCAACATGTTAGCAGAACCATGCTCTCTCAGAAAGCTGTAGCTTTCCTGGCATTGCCAGCTTCTGGTAGCCCTAGGAATCCCTTAGCTTTCGGCACACACTCCCAATCTCTGTGTCCATCTTCACATGGACTTCTCCCTTTGTCTCTTTATATCATCCCTCCGTGCATGTGTGTTTACATTTTCCCTTTTTATATGGACACCAGTTGTACTGGACTAACACCTACCCTAATGACCTCATCTCGACTTGATCACTTATATAAGGACCTCATTCCCTAATAAGGTTATATCCTGCGGTATTGAAGGTTAGAACTTCAACATAGTGGTGGAGTGGGGCGGGGGCGGGGGGGAATGATATATATAAGAGCATAGTTCTGTATTTTACTCCTCAATTCAGTGAACTTTTCTTTCCCCAGTGGAGAAGCATCATATAATATGGCACCACATTGTGGGCTTTTAGGTTTAAGTTTAACTTTGTCACTAAGTATATGCATTGCAAAAACTCGCTGAAATTCTGCAAGTCTGGCCTACTTCATAAAATAGAAGGACTGCATTAGATGATGTCTAGCATGCCTTCCAACTCCAAAAAGGTCATGTTTATAATGTGTGTCTCTCTTTTCCTCAACTACAGTGTGTATATCAGACTTCTATGATGTTCGATGCATCTTAGTGTCCCTGTAACTAATAATAAGGTTCTGATATATTTCATGATCATCTTCAATTGTCTTAGTGTATCCTCGTAATAAAATCTTGCTATCTGTAATGCTATTTAAGTGTGGTTCTTATCAAATGAAAGCTTTGTTAGATTTAGGTTGTAAAAATGTCTTAATAGGGCCACTGAGCCTTTTTTGTGAGTTTGTATTGCTTTTTTAAATTTTCTAAAATTTGTAAATAGACACTTTTCTATGCCAAGTGCCCTCGATATAAAAATAAGATCCAGAACATAAGAGTCTGTAGTGCGTCTTTTCTGACTAGAGTGTGATGCAACTCATATGAAAACCATAAAACCAAAACTTAAGATGTTAAGGGAAATAAAATTAAATTCTGCCACTGATTCATAGACTACTGGCAACTTTCCTGAAAGTTTGCTTAGATAGCCATTATAGAAGACTTAGAAGTCTACTCCACTACAGCTAGAAGAATATTTAAGAAAGGAAATAGAAATCAGCGCCTGCTCTCAGATATAACATTTTTAGTGTCTCCTAGCCAAAAAGGGCTGACCATAGATTCAATACCATCAAATGGTACTTTCTAATTCTCCACCTCATCTGAAAAATGCTGCCCTGGTATTCACTGAATTGTTCCTTTCTCTTTCAGCTTCCTCCATCCTCAAAAGAGAGAAGCGGCTAAGGACTAAGAATGTGCATTTTAGTTGTGTCACCGTGTACTACTTCACCAGGAGGCAAGGCTTCACGAGCGTGCCCAGTCAAGGGGGCAGCACCTTGGGCATGTCCAGCCGCCATAACAGCGTGCGCCAGTACACTCTTGGTGAATTTGCAAGAGAACAAGAGAGGCTCCACCGGGAGATGCTGAGAGAACACCTCAGGGAGGAAAAGCTGAACTCTTTAAAACTAAAGGTAAAAAAAAAAAAAATAATTTTTTTTTTTTTTTTTTTTTTTTTTTTTTTTGCAAAACCTCATATCCTTACCTTGACTTGGTTGAATTAACCATTTTCATACTTGTATTCATAGACCAAACTGGACATTTTACACAACAGACCACCTGCAAGGCTTTCTTTTTCTTTTAAGCAAAGATAGCAAAGTGTCTTCACTGAAAGCAATGTGGAAAACCTGACACCATTTGTTTATTCATTCCATAAATATTTGTTGTTAAGTACTATCACATTGTAGACCCTATGCGTGGGCTGGGCTAACTGGAGTCAAAAATAGATGTTGTCCCTTCTCTTCTAGAACTTTCTTAGTAGTAGGAAAGAAAAATATCCGTCATGTAGACAAAATCAAATCATAGCTTCATTAAGTGCTATAAAGGAGAGTTGCAAGGGGTTATGAAAGTATGTAACCGAGAATTGGTATGGTCCAGAGGTCAAGGCGGGTTTCTTTAAGGAAGCGACAACTGAACTGAAATCTGAACAACTAACTAGGCCAAAGGGTTGGCCAGAGGGCCTCGGGCAGCAGCAAGAGCCAGACTGCCTTATGCTGTAGGAAGCACAGTGAGCACACAAAGTCTAGGGGGGCTGGAACAGGGACAGAAAAAATAGGTTATTCATAAAGTAGATTATACATGAAGGAGGCAGGATGGGGCTATGTAGATCATGTTAAGGCATTTTTTTTTTCCTCTTCATCCTCAGAGCATCAAAAGTCATCCAAGAGTTTTGAGCATGGGGTCCGGGTGGTAGAATAACATGATCGGGTTCATGCTATGATGTGAGGATAATTTGGGGGTAAGGGCTGCCATGCTGGTGGGAGACATACAAGGTCAGACCAGTTAAGAAGCTATCACAGCATTCCAGGAGAGAGATGATGGGAAGTTAGACAGACCTGTGGTAGGGGAGATGAGGAGAAATGGACAGAGGGAGAAGTGTAGGAAGTAAAATTAAATAGTTCCTGATGACAGGCTGGATTTGAAAGGAAAGGAAGAATCTGGTTAAGAATGAGTCCTAAATTTCTGGCTTACAAAACTGGACAGGTTGTGGGTAATAGTGCTTTTCTCTTTGAGGAGGATATGGCAAGGAATTCAGGAAGAGGAGCAGGTTAGGGCTGGGACTGGAAGGGAAGGGATAGCTAATGAGATTATTTTTGGACAGCACTGATTGGGAGAGGATTTTGACTTACTAAAGAGATGTGGAGGAGGTGTCCAGGCCACATTAGAGATTAAGTGGAGAGAAACACAGCTCAGAAAACGTCTTTCATCCAGCAAAGACGATCTTTAAATATGTACGGATCCATCGACCTCTCAATATATAGGAAACGCTCTCTCATTATTAGCTAATGACAAAGGAAATGTTTTTTAGGTTGTCCATGATATTGAACATAGGGAGCTCTTACTAAATAGCTGAAGCACCAATAAGCTTGTGTTACCTGTAACTTCAGTTCCCAGTACACAGTCAGCCAGTGGAGGTGTGCTGTGTGTTTTAAAGCACCTTGTTTTTATGTATTTTGCAATTTATCTATCTGCCTTTTTCCCAACTATGTAAGAAGGCAGTTGCTTAAATTAAGCTGGGAACAACCTAGCCCAGAACATGTCTCATATTTCCTTTGGTGATATTTTTGGCAAATTTCATTGGAAGTCTCCTAAGATTTTTTTGGTAGCAATCCACTATTATTGTTGTGTTTCATGATTGCTTTGCCTATCGCTTGATTTAATAATAATTCTTAGATTTGCTTCTGAAATCCACCCTCTGCCTTCCTAGCCCACTGTAAAACAATTCTATGCCCAGTCCAAGAACAGAGTCACACTCCAAACTCAATATTGGCAAAACAATAGTAAGGGCTGCCATTCATTAAGTGATTTTTATTTGCCAGGCATTCTGTAAACTTTATTCAATTTACTCTTAACAAAGACCCAGTGGGATAGGTAAATTATGAGACCATGTGTGCTGAAGAAAAAGAAGCACAGTGATGTTAAACACTGACTCACTCAATAGAAAACTGATTATATTATCCTGTTACTTCCTATTCTAAAATTAATTGATTATCCCTCCTAGGCATTGGGAAAGACAATCTCTGTACCTATAGGGAGTCGTACCTTTCTGGAGTTTGGTACTGTGTGCAATGGTTTTTAACAGCTGGGAGACTATAATTCTATCTGAGAACCAGAAGATTTATTGTGGTGAACTTTGAGGCACATTATACATGTGATGAATGTTAGGAACAGCCGCACACCTACAGGAACCTTCTATGTGAGGCAGTGATATATTCTGATACTGTAATTTTTATTCAGCTACTTTTATGCTTTTTCTTTAATAAGCTGAAGAAGAAAAGAAGAAGCAAAAAAAAAAAAGCATTCTCCTATTGATTCATTCTTTTTTTTTTTTTTTTTATTGTGCTTAGTGTTGGAAGTTGGAGAGGCAGTCATTCGAGTGGGTGTCATGGCTTGGTTTGTCACTGATAAGTGAAAACATGCAACTTTCCCTTTTGGTGAAGATATAAACAGAAGACATTTGGATATCATTGCTCCTTTCAAATGAATACCAAGCAAAAACATAATGGGATTCTAAGGTGATCTGATCTTAGCCTCTCTGTACTGAAAATATTTAGAAACTCAGAAATATGTCACAGGAACCTAATTAAAGAATCATAGCAATGTGGACCAGTTTGCTAAAAAAAAATCTGGGAAGACCAAATGAAGAAACAGTTGTATATTTTAATTATAATTCCTCTAGTATATTAACTTTTATGATTTTTAAAATATCATTGGCTATACTTGTCTAAGGTTTAGCTCTCCAAAAATCTGAAATTAGCTATCCCAAAACATTAGCTATCCAAAAATAATCACTCGGATACTTGAAATTTCACTTTTAATGTAACATTTGTCTTGAAATATTAATATCTCTGGAGTAAGTAATAAAATAAATGTAGTTAGATTGATTCCATTATTTTGACTGGGGCCATAGGAGGGTCGCTGGCACAGAGAGGAGTCAAAAGAGGAAAACAAGGAGTGTTACAAACTTCATTTTGGCTTTGACTGGAGGAGGTCCTCTGTGAGTGGCAGTGAACTATCTATTGAGTAAGAAGAGAGAAGGTAGCATCAGTCAAGACACTTTCCAAAGTCCTCCCCATGGATATCATATACAACACCACAGCAAACTCATTGGACATGGATCTTAGTAGTTTTCTTTTTCCTTATTTGAGAACAAGCAGCCTAGAAGTTTCTCTTTCCACTGCATCTCCAAGTCATTCCAGGGTGTTTCTCTAGGTTCCAAATAGAGAACTCGCTTATGCAATGGCACCCTTTCTGATGGGGCCTTCCTAGTGAGAGATTAGTAAACAGAAACATACACTACCCTCTTCTTGATGTTCCCTTATGATAAATATTTTGGAAACAAAAAAGAATAGGAATTTAGTTTCTCATTGTAAAATTGCTTCTTATTGAGTAATCTGCCTCTTAATCAAATTATGAGTTAGACACATTGGAAAGTAGTACATACAATTAGATGTGTAGAAGAAGTCCAATTCTATTTGGGGGTTCAGGTGTCTTTTTTGTTGGTGGAGTTGGGTGTTCCAAACTTTGTCAAAAAAACAATCAATAGAGAAAGCTAAATGAATAAAATGCTTGTTCCTAGAAGAAATAGCTAGCTTTAGATTTCTGAATTACAGAGAATAGTCCGTTTTCCCTGTCAAGCCCATTCAAACATGTCATACTCTTCACAGTAATCAAGGCAGTCATCTTAATACTATACTCTTTTCCAAATTAAGTGCTTAGATTTCATCATCTGCACCACATTGTTGAACAATTACATTAGGCTTTATTCCCATTTCACGTATATCTGTAAAACGCATTAGGCAGCCACTTCTGTTTGAAAGAGCCTTGGCATTTCAGTTGCCTCTGGGTTATATCTCCCTGGCTTCTACTACCTTGTTCTAGGAAATTTAATTTAGCTTTCACAGCTTTGACTGGCTCTCCATCTCAACGTTTTTTCAACCTTGATTGTTCTCTTTCTTCTTTCTGAGATCAAGGGTCTGTCTCCACTCTGGCACCATTTACAATTACTTCCCAGAGTTATATAGTTTTCCCAATTTTTCAGTCATGAAGGTGTTTCTTGAGTGATGCTTGGTTGTTTGCTCTCTGTCCTCATAAAACAAGAGTTGCCAGGTGGTAACTCTTCCTTTAATGATCAACCTTTTAAAAAATATCTATCTAAATTTTCTTCGCCTGAAATCTTGTGTTTATGGTCATGCTTTATTCACTTAGTGACTCACCCATGGGATATAAGTCTCCACCTTCACCTCCCACCATGTTCCTCATATCCCTTCAACAGTCTTGTGATTTACTAACCTCTAGGTGACTATCCCAAATGCTCTAGAAGATATAAAGGATTGAGGGTTTGTGAGAGATGGTTGACACAGGCTGTTATCTCAAATCTACAGTTTCCAAACTTTTGGAATGTGTCTTTTAACTATTTTGTCGCACTATAGTTCTTTATTAGATGGGTCAGAGTCTGGGCGTCATGGTATTTTTTTAACCCCATTTATCCCTACAGAACTTTTCTGTTAGACTCTGGAGAGATTGCTCAAAAGCATGGTGAGTGCAAGTGCTTCTGGAAAGTATCCCTAAATGGAGTCCTGCTCCAAAGCCAAATGAAAAATTTTGATATTTGCCAAATACTTGTCATGACATCTGCACAACCCATTTTGACAAGCATAGAAAAAAGACACCTAACTGTAGTGATGGAGACTAAGAGACCGTGCTTTAGCCCTAGGGCAAATGCAATACAGTTAAGAATATGTTCTTTCAAAATACTGCTGGTATTTTAATTGTAATGGAACAATTAAACATGTGTAGCCAAACATTTACATTCTTCCTATGCAATATACTTTGATCCTCTGATTTCAGAGAAGTTGATTGAACTGATTCTCCTGATTAAACTAGAGAGTGCATCAACTCATAAAAGTTGCTC